CTGGCGACTGATCTGCCTTGCCCGGGAAGAGCGCAATGATGGTGCCAACTTGGGCCAGTGAAGCAACGTCCTCCACAACTAGATTGAAGAACAAAAAAAAACGACAGCAACTTGTCTGTTCCCCGTCCCCCAATTCCCCAATAAAAATCTTTAAAAAAAAAAGAAGTGTGGCAACGTAAATCGCTCCAGGCTTTAGATTCCTTATGAAGTGAAATTAAGTACCTCTAAGGCCCTTTCTAATGCCAAATCAATGGTCTCTCTTAAGATAATAGGTGGGGGTACATAGACTAGTCTTACAAAGTTCATTAAAGGGGGGGGGCATTTTAACCCTAAAAATTTAAGGAAAAAAAGAGAATGAATACCATACAAAAATAAAAAAACATGCAAATATGTCTACCCACCAGAACCTGACAGAGGATGCTCCCAATGGTCTTCCTTCCATGCTTTTCTAGAGGTGGTCTTGCCAGAATACCTTTTATCTGTGTCCAAGAGGGAGGTTGATGCCAGTTTTCTAATGCTACCCACAGCCAGGAAGTCACCTTCCCCATCTTCCCCTTCATCAAACCTGTCAATCACTCTGGCAGCAGTGGCTGTGGGGGGAGAGGAAAAAATAATCAATCTCTCGGTCAGAAAGAACTTTAATAATAACCCCGTACAACCCTTTCAACTCATACTTGAATGCCCTCTACAAAATTCTCACCAACTTCCAGGAACAGGAAACTCATTACCTCCCAAGGTAGACCTCTATCTTACTACTGTCCACGAAGAGAAAGCTCTGTATCTACTAGAAGGATATATGTCTATTCCTTGTATCAAATAAAACTAGTGTAATTCCTCTTCACTTAAATATTGTAAGTCAGCCGTCATCATGTTCTATCCTCACTCCATTCCATCCCTCAGGGAGTTTTCTTCGCTTATCCTGGCGAAACAACTCCAGTTCCTTCAACTGATATTCCTAAGACACGGTCCAGCACTCACATTTATCTTTCCTTATTCCCTTCCTCACGCTTCTGACTCAGGTCTAAAGCAGGATTACTCCCAACTAGACCATGAACATGAGCTTACAAAACAGCAGTCTAACTCATCAGCCCCTAAGCAAGTGTCTTGTGGCTAAAGAGGCTTAAACAGCACCATGGAAGTCTACTTCTTCCTTCATTCTCCAAGTAAGTTCTTAGGGGCAGGCAGAGTTTTAAAAATGGGTGAGACTCCCTTCTTCTCATTTCTAAAGCAATCTCTGTAAGAGCGTCCTGAAAGATAACTTACAACCTGCTATCAGACTCTGGCTCCCTGCAACAGCCAGTTAACCCGAAGATGAATCCGCCGGATGCTCCGCCCACCCGAGCTCCAAGTCTAGAGTGCGTGTCAAAAAGAAGACGGAGCTGCTCCAGAGCCCGGGGCAACTCCCCCGGGAGGCAGTTTTCCTCTACACAAGGGCAAGAAGAGTAGGCCGGGCGGCAAGACCCAGCTGCCGGCCCCTCACACTCCGTCAGGGTCCGCATGGGGCCGGGCCCACCGCTCCGCACATGGCCTTGCCCCAGTCAGCCTCACCCTCCTCCGGGTCGGCCTCAGGGTCCTCCTCGCGCGGTCGTGGATTCAACAACTGTTCCAGCTGCAGCGCCAGGGACTGCGGCCCCGCCATCGTCACCAGCCTCGGCTCCGCGCACGTGAATGTGCTGCCCCAGCCCGGGCGCGGACGCTCTCTCCCGGCCGGGTTCTCCCGCCCAGATACTGTCCCTCAGACGAGTCAGGCACCGCGCGGAGATGCGTGCCCAGCTCCCGACAGGCAACTTCCGGGAGGCTCGCGGATGGGGGCGGGGCCTGTCGCGTCAGGACGGGCGTTGCTAGGAGTAAGGCGGAAGCGCCTGGGTAAACCGATTGTCGCGGTCCAGACCCGTGTGCGCGTGCGTCGAGGGGGGCGGGATGTCTTGGGCGGTGCGGGAGCGCGCAAAGAGATGTGGCTAACGCCGGCGCCAAGCAAAGGTTGCGATACGAGCGGCCGTTGTCCCTTTGCAAAAAAAATATGCTTCAACATTTGTACGAGATTTGCTTAGAAATAAAATGTAGTGTAGCCGTGACCAATGGTGGCTGATTTGGAAAGGAGGAGGGAGTAAAGGGTAAGCCTCTCGAGCCTCAGGTGCGCTTTCCTGCACGCGCACACTGGGACCAAAAGCAGGTCTTGGCATTTCACAATTTGGAGGATTCTGGGGCCGGGCTTAAAGCCTCTGGCCCCGCGGCAGCCACGATTTGAGAATTTTGTGTCAGAGATGTGTAAATGTGCGACGGACTGCTGACGTCTTTATTAAGAATAACTAGAAATCGCTATGGCTGTGCATAAATAAAGATCTATTATGTAGCTTCTCCAAGTAGCCTTGTCTGAGCAGGAAAAAGGGCGTGGAGTGGGGATTACTACTCAAGTGCACACCCATCGGTATGGATATTTTTTCTGTCCAAAGATGAGGACATACTCAGATACTTGGAGCTGATGCACAAATACAGAAAAACTCAAGTCTACAATTAGAGGGGCACGGCAAAATATAAAGACTTAATAGGACCAATTTAATTGCACCCAGGCACATGGCAAGATACAATCAATCCTTTTATATTCCCTTTCCTTCATCAAGCATTCCCTGACTGCCCGCTATGTGGCAGGCATTGCTAGATAAGATACAATAATGAGTAAGTTAAATTCTTTCCTGATGGTGATCAGCTTAGTGGGGCAGACAAACATGTAAACAGAAACTGCAATAAGGGATGATTAGTGTGTGTACAAAGTGGTCTATCGTTCCAGTATCTGTTTAGAGGTCACCTGTAGAGACCTAGAACATCTTAAAAAACAGCCTCAAAAGGATCCAGAAAAACAGACATTAGGGGTACCCCGTGCCTTATTTGGGCACACCCCAGGCCAGTTGGATCCCACAGCTGAACTGCCTGGGGAACCCTTAGCTCCCCAGTGTTTCCTGTGGAACTTAAGGGAAGTGAGGGTCCCTGACTTTCACAGTCCTCTTATGCCTTGGGGATCAAGAGTGATGAGAGACCACCACTTTAGAGTACCTTGTCCCATGTTGCTTTCCTAGATGGCTGTAGAGAGGAAAGTGAACCTCTTAAGGTAGACACCCACCCAAACATGGAAGGGGAAGAATGCCAGACTAGGATGTGGTCACCCTAGGCAGGGGACTCAGGCAAAGAAAACTGCTTTTTACCATCTGCAAGAAAATTCAGACTAGGGAACAGGGTTTTTTTGTTTTTTTTTAACATATCCCCTGTAATTGCAGCCTAGTGTGTGTGTCTGCCCCCCCCCCAAAAGCACGCTCCTCAGGCTGCAACAAGGGGCCATTGTCCTGGGCTTCAAAGGACAAAAATGTTTCTCTCAGCCCACATTTAGGAAACTACATCCCCCAATCCTCTTCCCTTCCTATTTTGGACACTAATAATGCTTAGAAACTTGGCCTTGAGGTAAAGAAAAGGGAGGAAAAAGGGAGGAAGGCGAGGCAGGTCAAAGACCACCTCCAAGCAAAGAGGACACTATTTGGGTGATTCTGGGCAGAAAATGCCAAAGACCTGCTCCTCTCCTTTTCTCTGCTTCCTTACTGACTTGGGAAGCCTTTTGAGGAAGAAATCAAGACTGTTCTACTTCTATCCCACACATCCTAGGGCCCCCCAAGAAGCTTCTCCTGCTTTCTTACCCCATACTGAGGAAGTAAAGAGGAACGAGTTCTAAAACTTAAGATGCAACTGAGAGAAGTCAAGGTATGGGGCAGGATAGCAACCTCCTAAAAGCTCTCTCTGCCCCCCTTCCCACTTGATCTAGTTTCTTGAGAAGGAAAAAGGGGTTTCCTTATGGGGATAGGGATAGAAATAGAGAGTAAACTATGGGAGGAGATATTTAAAAGACTACTCCTCCTAGAAAAAATGTAAACCTCTAACTGCTCTGAGATGAGAGCAGATGACAGAAGCAGTGGGATGGGAATAAATGGGAGCACATTCCCAAAGGAACAACTTTCTCCAGAGAAGGTCAGAGGGTCTCCTGGTTCACAGTCCCTCTGCCTGATGCCTAAGAGCTGCAAAGTGGCAGGCAGGTGTAGGAATAGCAGAGGATGTGCAGGAGTGATATTGGATAGCCCCCCTCCATTGTCCCAATCAACTGTCTGTCACACACGACTAGTAGTTTCAATAGTTTAGGGAAACCAGGTTCTTACCTGACTCTCTCTTCTCTTCTCAGATGCTGTCAAACTCCGGTCCCAGACCCCTGCTGATGCCTGTCCCGTCTCTCCATGCAGAGTCCTCCCTCACCTTGTCTCACTCTAAAGTAGCCCCTAGCCTCCCCAAGCCTTCCCCAACCTGGAGAAATTTGGTGGGTGAGCTTTGCCTCCCTCGCCCAGGGCAGATGGTGGCTCCCACCGCTGGCACCCTGAGGATAGGTGGCGAAAAGCACAGAGGTGGCAGCTTTAAGATGGCCGCAGGGAAGAACCAGGCTGCGAAGCCTGGCCACAGAGGAGACTGCCCTCCTGGGCGGGAAGGGACCGCCTTGGCGCTCCTCTCCATCCCCGCACCTCTCCCAAGAGCTCTCAGCCCTGTTACGTAGGGATGGTGCAGCGCTTCTCTGTACCTCAGGGCCAGAGGTGGGCAGCTCTGGTCTGATGGGAAATAGAACAGCCCCTGACATTTCTAGACCTCCTTCTCTCAGCGGCTCCAAATCTGACTGCTAAGCTTTGCCACCTGTTCAGGTATTCATTAGGGTTCAGGATACAGCAAGAAGGGGGAAAGACTGAGATGCCGCCACGGAGTCAGAGAACTGTGTCCACACCGAACGCCCAATTCTAAAATGCTTATCAAGTACTCCATTCCACAATAAAGCTGCTAAATAATCCAGCAGGCTTGATAGGAAAATGCAGCTTCCCAATGAGCAAACGTTCAGTGAAATGAGTATCTTTAAAGGGGGTGGCTATAATGAATAAGTTGGCCAAGATTTAAGGTATAGAAATGATAAAAGGGCAAAAACAAGCCAATCCAGTGATTGCATACAAAGCAGATAAAAAAATGTGCTGCATGCAGAGGTTAGGAATTTCAAAAGTCTCCCGTGTAATTCACAAATCTGGATTTCTGAAAGACCACTGTCAGATTCCTCCCTGATAGTCCTCCTCATTGTATAAGCCGTCCTATGGATGCAGTGAAATATTCCTTATTTTAAAGATGTTATTGGCAGCAAAGATACAGTTGGTTGTCTCAACAAAATATGCAAACACTGGAAATTACATACCATTTAATCTAAAACCTTGATTTCTTTTTAAATAAGGGAATAAATAACCTATACTGAAGTCTAGGTGATATGGCAATTTTGGAACTCTAAGAGCATGTGATATTAAAACACATGTATTTCATAGTAGATAAAATATTTAAATTCCTTCCACAATTAATAAAGGCTTGGAAGGAGCTGAACTACTTTTCAGAACCAATTTGCAACTGCCGGTTGACATTTGATTTCTATATTGGTTATTTTTACTCATCTTTCAGAGAAATGTAACATGTATCTGTGTGAAGCAAAATAGTTTTCCTTCTGGCAAACTTTACATGTAATAAATACTATAAAACAACTATTTCGTATTATTTTTGTGAAAGGAGTTAAAAGATTTCATTTCTGGATGTACTATACATTCATTTTACATTATCTTTCAAACTACCACATTAGAAAGCAGGATTATCTATGGGAAATGAATTGACACTGAAAAAGACCACCTCTAACTATATATTTGCAGGGAACTGACATTCACAAGTCCAGTTTTGCATGTGCAAAGAAGAGGAGAGAGTGTATGGGGTCTCATGCCTAATCACAGATCAGGGGTCACTCATTTGTAGCCATGGATTTGATTTCTATTTCAAATTCTCTATTAACTTCTCAGCAAACATCTCTTCAATGGTATCAGTTAAATCCACAGAAGGCAAATCCGTAGTTAATAACAGCAGGAAACCACAGAGAAAAGCTTGGCTGGCATTAGCAATGGGGTTCAACCACAGCCAAAGTTAAAACAGACACCTCGGTCCTGTGTCTCATCCTCCTAGCTTCTGAGGAGTCATTTAGCTCCCCATCCTGCCTCCCTCCTAGTTGTTAAAACATCAAATAACACACCAGTTATCTAAACATCAGATTTTCTATTTTTATTATAAACTCACAAATTTGTTCAACATGTTTTCTTTCATACAGTGAATGGTCTAATATGCACTGGAGGTCACACAAGCTTAGGTTTATCAGAACAATAAAAGACATATGAGAAATTTAATATATAAAGAAAAAAGTAGCAGCTGTTGACTGCATATTTGACCATAAAATTTAAATATTTTGGACTTTTATTTTAAAGACACAAAAATAAAACCTGTGTGGGTCTATATAAGTCATATTAACAATTCCATGAATGTTCAACAGGACTAAAAATTAGCAAAGATGTTTTTTTCTTAAACCTTGTAACACTTTTTTTTTTAACACTTTCTCAGGTTGTGGTGCCACGCACCTTTACAGTATTTGTGCTATAATTATTCTATTTGGCAAGTGTCTGATACTGTGTTTTCTCTTTGCCTTGTGTAAACAACACCTTTTTACATACTAGCACAGTGAGCTGTGAGCCCTGCAAATCTGTCAGAACATCTACAGGAAAAGAAAATGAACAATTTTGGTTGATTGCTCAAAACATTTTGTTTCTGAACAAGAGGTTTCAAAACAGGATATATTAGTAAAACACTGAACTCCTGAATTTAACATTATACGTAAACAGTTGACTGTTTTTAGTTCAATAGTCTTTTTTTTTGTTTAACTTTGTGTGTGTGTGAAGGTAGAATACTTTTCTTATACAGCTGATGTTCAAGTCATTTTACTGAGAGGTCTAGCTAGAGACCATCCTATTTGTGTGTGTGTGTGTGTGTGTGTGTGTGTGTGTGTGTGGCTTTGTGAAGGTAGAAGAGTTGATACTGAGGGCTTTACATTTAGAATTTTGCAATTTTGGCAAAACAAAAAAAAAACAAAAAACCCAGACAGACCAAAAACAAAACAAACCCAAATATATATATATATAGTCCCACCTGATGCACAGCAGGTCGGGCGTTTCCGAAGTTGTAAAAGTTTGTTGTCGCTGCTGCTGCTGCTGAACTCTGAGACCGACACTAATAGATTTCCCAGAGCCAGAAAACCCTCCTGGCTAGCCCGGGAGCGCCGCGGGCCGCTTCACCTCCCTCACCCCGCTGCAGCCTCCCACCCTGCGGCTCTTGGCGTCACCTCTGGCCGTGAGCCCCTGCGGCGGACGTGGGTGTTTCTGCGCCGCGGGGTCGGCCAGAAGTGCATGCCCGCGCTGTCTTTCCACCAATCCGGCTCCAGGTGGGAAGTGGGGAGAGGACTAATTTCCCTTCGAGAGCCCGGGTCCTGCACTTTGCCAGCCAGCGCGGATCCCAGCCCTACCTCCAGGCAGATTTGGATCCTATTTCGTGTCCCTTTTCCATCTGGTCTCCCCAGACAGAAAATGGTCCCCGAGGCTGGAGGAAAGTGTGGGGAAGTGACTTGCTTTTTTTTTTTTCCTTTTTTCTATTTTTCTTAAATAAAAGTTCGCTTCTGTACAACCACGAACTCCGCGGTCCGTGCGAGGCTCCGCTACCACACGGCCGCCTCGTTCATTTCGGGGGGATGAGACAGGTGGTTCCCATAGCTCGCCCCGCCGTTGACCGACAGCGACGAGAAGGGTGGACTGGGCCCGAAGACCTCAGCAGACATTGAGTGGAGAGGCCCGGGCAGGCTGGGCTCGGGGCTAGGCGAGTCCCCGGGGGGATGCGCCAGGATGTCGGTGAACCGCTGCGCCTCGCTCGACGGGTGGTGGCCCGGCAGCGGGTGCTCTAGGCCGCCCAGAGGCGTCCCGGACGGCCCAGACGACGGCACGAAGGGCAGGTCCACTGGCGTCTGAGCCTGCGAGGACGGGGGGCCTTGCGGGAAGAAGTCGTAGTTGCCCCCAGGCCCGTAGTACTCGCTCTGGTAATCTGCGGAGCGACGGAGAGGAGGATATCAGGGCGGTGCCCTGGGTGGGGCGGGTAGAAAGGGCCGGGAGGCAGGCTCGCCAGCCGGCTTGGGAGGGCAACGCGCGGCACTCGCCCTTTGTGGGCTCCCTGCGGGGCTGAAAGCAGGGAGGAGGCTGGGAGCGATCACAGGAGCCGATCCCTCCCTAACCACCCGTCTCATTCTGGGTCGGGAATTCGGCCCTCAGTCTCACTACCTCCCGCTTCACTTACTCCCCCAGCCATCACCCATCTTTCCACTTCTCTATAGAAAGCGAGAAGCGCCTCCCGCGCTGCCACCCGCTTCCAACGAAGGCAACCCCGGCCTCGCCGCGCCCTGCGCGGGGCAGCGCACCCACCTCCGTAGAAGGAGAAGGGCCCGTTGGGGATGAGCTCGCCCGGCTCCAGGCGGTCCACAAGCGGCCGCATCCGGCGCGGACTGCGGAAGAAGGCGTGGCGCCGGGCGCCCAGCGCGCTCAGCTGCTTCATCCTCCGTTCCTTGGAGCGTCGGTTCTGGAACCAGACCTGAAGCATACAGGCCGCGAGGTGAGGGCAGAAAGACCCCGCCCCCCACTTCGGGTGCGCGGCCCGGCCCGGCCCCTGACCATCCACCACCTAGCTCTCAGGAATCCGTGTGTGTGTTTGTGTGTGTTGTAAGGTGGTGGTGGTAGTGG